ATCAAAACTATAAGGAATTGTTTCTGATGACTTGTATGAATTATTATTAACGGTATTAATTCCCAGATCAAAACTATAAGGAATTGTTTCTGATGACTTGTATGAATTATTATTAACGGTATTAATTCCCAGATCAAAACTATAAGGAATTGTTTCTGATGACTTGTATGAATTATTATTAACGGTATTAATTCCCAGATCAAAACTATAAGGAATTGTTTCTGATGACTTGTATGAATTATTATTAACGGTATTAATTCCCAGATCAAAACTATCGGCAATTTTTTCTGTTGACTTGTATGAATTATTATTAATGGTATCAATTCCCAAATCAAAACTATATGGCATTAAAGATTTCTCTGTATAAATTTTCTCTATTGATTTATATGAATTAATTCCCAGATCAAAACTATATGGTATTAAAGGTTTCTCCACATAAATTTCCTCATTTACTTGATTATTATTCAAGTCTACATCAAATGACCATTTAATTTCTGTTGGGTTGTTAATATTGTTGTTATCATCTACACTGCTAATTTCACCATCCTCACAAGACTCATCAGTAGTATATTTATCTGAGACCTGGTAAAATGTGAAAAAGTCTTAAACTTGGATAACAATACATCAGCCACATAAACAAGCATGTTTAACGAACCTTTTCAACTCTAAAAAAAAAAAATAAAATATGTATATATTGTACATCAGAAAATTAAAAATACTGTAGATTTATACAAGTTTACATAGCAATGATCGTAACCACCATTCTTTTAATAAACTAGAGTAACGACGAGTGGCGGGCGATAACCACCACCATCCTTAAAACACTTACCCAGCAACATTAACGACGAATACTTTTCTTCTTTGAATGTTATTGCTTTTATTTGGCATTTTAAATAAAAGAAGTTTGTGATTTGATCGACACGTACACACTAATTATTTATCCTATTGGTTTTTTTTTTGGGAGGACAGACATGAATTGATTTTTTTATTTTTTGACAGAGTCCAAGGTGACAAAACGTGGGTGTTGTTGTTTGGTTTGGCTTGGTCTCCTAACCAGAGGTACTTTTTTTTATTTGTATTGATATTTTTATTTTAGCTTATAAAAATTTTAATTGGAATCAAAACGCGGAACAGATCTTGCTGGGTAATTACAAGATTTTCATTGATAATATTTTGCTTTGCGTATCGTAATAATAATAGTAATATTATATTATTATAATTACAAGATGTCAAGGCAGCATTGACTGTTGAAAAAGAAACAATTTGATATGCAACGTTGATTACCGAAAATTTACAAGTGTTGAAGCACGCATGCTACCTTGAACACATTACAGTCATTCTCACTCGTTCCTCATGTACAAAAGGCTAATCTGACTAGTGTGCCCCGATGATACAATGATGTTGTTAAATTTTCAGGGGGGGGACGTGGCTCTGGAGTTTACCAAAAACTGCATCATCGTCAAGGATATTTTCACTAATCTTCCCTTACAGTACCAGGCTGCTGGCACGCTAGCCGAAAGTTTCCTGCAACGATCCCACCTCTAGGGTAAGGGTGGCACTGCGATCAAGCTGTTGCAACTCTGTTGATGAATTGTAGTGCCATGTAAACATCAAAGCAACAAGAATCTGCAACTCATTTCAAGCACAGGAGGTCACAATTCAGAACTGGGTTTGTAACCCTGAAATTGCATTTGGGCTCTGATGTTAGAAGGAAAGTTGTAAAATAGTGTTTGTTTGTATAATCATTTTCCTA